GATATTTGGACGGCCTACTGGTGATTACCTTTTTCTTCCATGTTCTTTCTCGTTCTCCTTTCTAAATGATTCTCTAACCCCTCTCCTCCATACCAAAGTATTCATAGTCCTTTTTTTTTTTTGTTTGAGACGGAGGTCTTGCTCCTTGGTTGTCCAGGCTGGAGTGGCAGTGAACCAATCCTGGCTCCCGCCAACCTACACCTCCCAGTTCAATGCAGATTCTCCTGCCTCACGCCCAGATAATTTGTATATTTCAATAGAGGACCAGGGTTTCTCCCATCTGTAGGCTGTCTAAAACTCCGAACAGATCTGCCCCGCTCGCGGTGCGGAATAGGCACTGAGGCTGCGGCCGGCCTCACTGATTCATAGTTTATTGTCGATATTTTACCCTGTCTGCCTTAGTCAGCATGGCTGTGTAACAAACCAGGGGCTGTTGGTTATTCCGCGCTTTACCTGAGATTACGTATGCGCACTGTGCGGTGATGAAATGCTGACTGTATTGTGTTCCAACAGTCTGACACTTTTCAGCATACGAACTTTTTTGAAAAATTTGTGGTGAAGAAAATATAAATACATAAAATGTACCACATTTTTGTATGTGAAGGAATACGTTAACTTAACAATATTTTATGTATGTTCAAAATGATTTTCTGAGGATTTAAGAAAAGTGGCCGAGTTAAAAACAGACCGCCTTTCATAGTATACTCCCTATCCGTTTTCTCGTATTTGTGAAGGCTCATTAACCACATGGGCTACATTATTAATAATCAGGGACACCAAACTCGATATCTTATTTACTGTACATAAAAACTATCCCCAAGAAGGAACTATCTAAAAAATGCATGCACTGGCCAGGCACAGTGGCTCACGCTTGTAATCCTAGCACTTTAGCAGGCTGAGGCAGGCAGAATGCTTGAGCTCAGGAGTTTGAGATCAGCCTGGGCAACATGGTGAAACCCCATCTCTACCAAAAAAATTGGCTGATGCTTGGTGGCTTGCACCTGTAGTCCCAGCTACTTGCAGGGCTGATGCAAGAGGATAACTTGAGACTGGGAGGTCAAGGCTGCAGTGAGCCATGTTTGTGCTATTGCACTTCCTGGATGGACAAGGGTGAGACACTCGTCTCAAAAACAACCACCGAACCATATACTGATGTATAAACCAAATAATCATATACTCTCGGCCAACATTGGGGGCACACAACTTTTTTGGAGATAAAAATGCTATTTAAGTTGGGAAGGGGACGAACTAAGAAGTGCTTCCTATCACCAAGTAAGACTCTACAGGAAGGCTCACTTCTTATTTTAAATCACAATGTAGAATGGCATGTCTCAAGGGAAAGGCAATTATTAACCTTCCGCCACAACCAACCAAACGATTTAAATTACTCTTAAATTGTCCCTGAGGACTCAACAAAACGACCATAGTATGCCTTTTGTTTTTTTGAACGGATTTCGCTCTGCCGCCCAGACTGGAGTCGCAGTGGCACAATCTCGGCTCACTGCAACCTCCGCCTCCTGGGTTCAAGCAATTCTCCTGGCTCGAGCCTCCTGAGTAAGCTCGGATTACAGGCGCCTGGCCACCATGCAA